GCTTGAAGATCTCATCTGTCGTTCACGTTTTCGTTTTTCATTTGTCAATCTTTAAGTTCTCCTGACCCGCTCCAGCAAGAACATCCATTTACCATCCACGTATGTCTCCTTTTACTCTTTTCTGATTGTCATTTACAATTTGCTTGGTCTTGTCGAATATGGGTTCTTTTTTATGTCTTCTAGGATTCATATATTGTTTTAATTCGATGTTTATGGATGAGATAACAGGGTTATGGTCCGATGATATATCAGCGACTGGATAAGTCTTGCTTGATTTAATACAGTTCCTGAAGTTATGATGATATAATCTACTTGAATTTGGGTGTGGTAATTTGACAATAAATTTAAATTATAGAAAATAGAAGACATGATAAGGGTAAAAGACAACTTCACTAACAGACAGACACACAAATAGACGACACATAAATTATTGTATTGTTATAAAAAAATTACGTAACACTGTAAAAATATTATCAAGAAAATGTTCCATTGTGATTTTTCAAAAAATCATTTTTCTTAAATCCTTGACCCGGGTTGGGAGTTTAAATTGAATTATATTGAAAGTATACGAAAACATATAGCTGAGGATTATTCTGTATGAGCTCCACACAAAACTCGAAGCTGAAGCTTGAAAATGTTCAATGAAGCTTTAAGCTTTAAGGCAAGTTCGTAATTTAAGAATTTAATAAATGTCACCGGAACTCCTTTGACAAATTTTGCGGTGTATGGATAACCAACAAATGTTTGCCATTAATCGTAATGCCTGCGTAACCTTCTCTTTGTTTAAAAGCAATTTATGAGCATTGAACAATATTTTAGATTTAATTAATGAGTAATCTGATAATAATCAGATCATTAAAATTAACACCATAATCAGTAAAATTGTTGTCATCTGCAAAAATAGCGGTTCCGGTAAAAGCCTATTGGGGTAGGTCATTATTATGGGTCCATTATTTATTTTGCATGTTGTTGTATTTGCTCGAGCATGTATAATTTGTCGTTTGGAATAATACAACTGATTTTTTACATGTACAATGCAAAATATTCGATTGCGAGTTGATGATAATAACGACCAAGCTTGCTGCTGTAGGTGTTCTACGCCAAGTCCTGTTTAAAATCCTACTACGTTAGATATAATTCAAAATCATGGTAAGCTGTTACAAAAATTCCTAAGGGTCCATTTAGACTTGATAATTAAATAATGGTTTAAGGTAAAAAAAATATTTAGCAGGTTACTTGCTTCCTAAATTAAAAGGATTGGATTGTTGGTCTATAAAAATACCTCATATATATTTTATTCAAATTAATCATATATTTTATTGTATCGTTAATATAACAGAGAAAGAGAGAATGCAAAAACTAAAAATGTTGAGTTCGAAACAACGTCACAAAAACTACGTCGTAAACCATCAATAACCAAGAATGTGGCCTAACGGCGAGGAGGTGCAAAAAGACCCTGTTAATTACCATTTGAGCCAATTCAATACGAAGCCTGCTATCGCCCATAAATAAGAGTCAACGCAACTCCAATCTTCATATAATATCGTGAAATTTCAAGGGATCCAAAAGTGTTAACGTCTTTATTTCCAAAATCTGTCAGCTCTAACTCCAGAAACGATACATAAAATTCAAAGGCGCTAGAATAATCGTACACATATGCAAACAATCGGCATTTATGGACATTTGATAGTCCGGCATATATTAACACGCGGCGGACCAGCACGCTTATGTAAAACTATGTTAATAAGGCACTCTACTGTTCCGTACACACACACACACACAGACATACACCGAAGAGATTAATGGGCTAGCAATAAGCTCAAAAGATGCGCCCCACAAAAAATTATGCTAATGCGCCTCTGGACCTGTGTCTCTTTTATTATTTAAATAATAAACAAGTTCGCTATTATTATTGTAATTAATTTAAATGGACTTGCAACAGGTAGACAAGTGCCTAATGTCACTCAATGGACCGTTAAGAGACTCAATTGTCTCTGTCTGGAATTATATTAAACAGTCGTGTTATTTGCGTAAAATATTTGGATATTTTTTGTGAGCATCTGCTTTTCCTCCGTTCTTCATTGCTGCAAGTTCTCGCCGTACCAACAACGGAGAGTTTACGCAACTATCTCGAAGCAATGCCACGCAATCGCTAACAATAAATTATGCCTGAAATTCCCCTAATTTTTCTAACAACTGGTGTTTCTCAATAATAATAAAAAAGAAACTAGAAATTTATTTTAAGCCTTTTATATGCAAACATTTTCAACGGGTTTTAATCAGTAATCCCATTAACGTGTCAATGATGGTAAATTTATTAACTTTCGTTCTACACGTTTGACCGGCAGCCAGCGGCGTCGAAAAGAGAGCGCCAGTTCTAATTAAATTATTTGTACAGTGCAACCCTAATGGACTTTTGACACTGATGTTTGCCAACAATTTCACCATATGTTGTAGTTTATGGCAGTTTATCATAAATTCAGATGATATAAAACAATATACAATATAATACAATACAATGTTAAGTAAGCAATAATTCATAAATAAAACTCTACATGATATCCTCAGAAGGATGAGTTTGTTTTTATTTGTAATATAGACAAATAGTGTGACATTTTACTGACTTACAAGCACACCTTTAGCTATCCCGATGAATTTGTCAATACGTTAATGATACTTAAAATGATTGACCTGCTTTACGATGTTAACCGGACGTCACAATCCAACCAATTTTTGACTGTAATAAGTGCTAACCTCACTACTGCTTGGTATTTTTAATTCATGTGTAGGTTGTATTGTGATATTTTACTGATATTATATTAAAAGATTTGGTTTCGTTTGAACTCGGTGCCGTTATGGAGTAATCAAAGTCTTGAACATTGAAGAAAAAGTCTTACTGGTCATGGTTCATGGATGTAACTCAAGGAAAAGTTAATAACAGAATATTTTCATACGTTTCCAAATAAAGTCACTGTAATTCAAACTTTTGGGCTAGAAGAAAACGTAGCTTTTGCGTCAACCTCGCAGAGTGGTGAGTTTTGATGTATTGAACTCAATTTACTTTGGTTAGTACTGTGGGGTAACACCTCTTATGCCATTAAAATATTTGGGATGCAAAAAAAAGGCACTACGGATAATTACAAATTCAAATCTTAACGAACACTGTAAGCCATTGTTTATTAAACATAAAATAATGACGGTTCCATGTATATTTATATTTCAAAGTGTTCTTGAGATACACTAAAAGACCGATAGTTTGCCAAGGGGTTCTGATTCTCAGTGCTGCCGAGATACAGGTTGCAGAAATCAAAACAAAACGCTCCTTATATAAAGCTTTATAACGCATTGCCAAAATATTTTAAACTTTTAAACGAAAAACATTTTAAACATAAAATTAAAAGTTTTCTTCTAAGTAAAGGCTATTATAGCGTTGGTGCATTTTTTGAAGCAAACATCTGTGGTCTGTGTTATATACATATAAATTTATTTTTTTATTTGTTGTTATATACAATTTTATGTTAGCATATACTTACAAATATCGAATTTATTTTTTTTCCTTTGTATAACTTGCTACAACCAATGATATTGTAAAGTAGTCAATAAACCATCTATCTATCTATACATTTATGCACTATATAATTATTTTCTATTGTTTTTTTTTTACTACGCCGCTGCGTCTAAACACACATTCACAATTTATCCTAGCCAGAATTAAATTCTGTCAAATTTTAGAAAGTACAATATTTATATTGTTGTTTTCGTGATATTTCGGAAATTTTAACGGTTATTTCGGTACTCGGACCACTCAGAACCTTCACCGTGTACTATAGACGAAAAGATGCTGTTACCAACTTATAATTTATGGGAAACCAGTTCTAAGCCGTGTAAAACCAATGTTTAGACCTTAAGGTGGATATAAATTTAACATTCATTTTTCTGTTTTTCGGATACAGAGGTCAGACGCGCATATTGCTGATTATTTTTTCTGTAAACAATGCATTTGATTCTTAAGCTGTTTGTTATATCGTCATCTCTTTTTGCGAATTCAGCCAGCACAGAAAATACAAAACTAAGAAACGTTTTACTGTGTGTTTTCCAACTCCAAAAGCAGTTTCGCATGCTTACGAAACAATCATTCAAACTGAGGCTCACATAAGCATGTCTTGGATTCGTCACCTGCAATAATATTATGTACAGAATTTGGGCAAACACACTTGTTTTTCAAAATTTGATTATATAATGTGACACAGACTCGAATGTCTACGTATCTTTAGAAAGATCCAGAATCACTTTGTTATATAGATTATACTACTGAGAAGAACCGTCAGTTTTAAATGAAAGGAAAATATATTGTACCTACTAGTCCATCTTTCGGAAATTGGAAAGTTTGTTTACGCCAGATTTCAAAAAAATAACCGCCTTTATCGCAGAACATTTGAATTACAAACCACTTCGAGATTCGAGGAATGAAATGGTAAATCTTCTAGAAAAAAGAGACCAGAAACCAATAGCTCCACAACCTATGTTGACTCTATACGTCGTTTACATCGGCAAAAAATGTATTTGACACCTGAAGGAAAGATTAAGCTTTCTTATACTCATTGCGGTTCGTGGGATTCGAAAGACATAATATACAGGGTTATTCACGCTACACAACATTGAACATTGTGGCGAAAACCCAACGTTTTCTACTATACAAGTGGTCCCAAAAGTATTAAAAGTATGAAAGTTTTATTTTTTACCTATATGTTATAGCATTTTTGGATTCTACTATCAACTTTTCAATTACCTATCCAATTGTCTCAGGGTTTTCTATAGCTAACTCGTAAAGTTATGGATTTTAGCGTTATCCAATTATATAGAAATGACAGATAATTTATTAAGGTAGTCAATTTGGTCTGGGTTTGCTGTATAGAGGGGTGTGAATTAGACTCTGGGCTAATAGAGAATTATAGGCATATAACAATCGCAGGTTGGTTCCCTAAGTATTCGAAAAAGCCATGTACGACAGAATGACGCATTTTTTGGAGCAAGAAAACATTATATCGAATGTGCAACATGGTTTCCGTGTTGGTTACTCAACGGAAACGGGGATTAATGACCTTGTCCAGTATATCTACGACAAACTCGACATGGGTGAGACAGTTGTGGGAGTGTTTTTTGATCTATCGCGCGCCTTCGATTCCCTAGATCCGAATATCATGGCAAAAAACTAGAATGCCTGGGGTTTCGAGGTAATATCAATAGTTGGATAATATCATATATGAAACACAGGGAAATAAGGGTCAAAGTGAATGGAATATACTCGGAACCTTTCAACGTCAACTTAGGCACGCCCCAGGGAGGAATCTTAGGTCCACTACTTATTCTTCTGTATGTGAATGACCTTCCTGAGTTCCTCAATAGCAACTGCCGCGGTTTTATGTACGCGGATGACACATCCATCTTCGTCTCCGGAAGGGAAGTTCAGGAGCTGATCAATAGGTTTTCTTGTGTTGTGGCACATTTTGTTGATTTTAGCAAACAGGACCATTTGATCATAAATTTGGAAAAAAGTTGCGATCGAATTCACTGGTCAGTATGTTAAACCTCTGACTAACCTAGCGTTCAGCTTTGCGGGTTCACGCGTGGAATTAAACCACACAACAAACTTTCTCGGATCTTACATCGATGCCTTCCTAAAGTGGGACTACGACATAGATAGTGTTTGTAATAAATTGAACAAAACGTTTTTTGCAATGGTAACAATCAGAGATTCTTTCTTTAAAAGATCCTTGTTGACTTTCTATTACGCCTCAGCATACTCGTCTATTTCATATAATATCGTAAACTGGGGACAAGCGAGTGGTGCGGAGAGGGTGTTCATTCAGCAAAAAAGGATACTTAGGTTAATTTTCAGACTGCCCCCGAGGCTATCCTGCAAAGATATATTTATAAGGTATAAAATACTAACAGTACCTTGCATATATTTATTTAAATTATTCATCATCGTTCATAAAAATAATGGCTCTCACAAGAAACACACGGATGTCCACGGTTATAACACCCGAAACAGAGAACACCTTCTAAAGCCAAGACTGAACCACATGTTCTACATAAAGTCGCTAAATTACGCAGGACCTTATTACTATAATTTGCTTCCTACAAGCATAAAAGCATAATATACAAGGCAATTTAAAAAGTGTATCAGAAAGCTTCTGCCAACCAATGCTTTCTACGACCTTAAAAAAATTGAAACATATATTACAGGAGTGCCCTGATGAGTTTAGTGATATTTTCTCTACATTTTGTCAATATGTTTGTACTGTTCGTATATCCGTTTGTAACTATTTTATACTGTACTGTTAAATGTGTGTTATCATATTGTTTATATACATAATTCCATGTATCTTTATACTACTCTATAATGTACTCGTTTCCTGACAAAACATCCACTGTATACATACTGGGCTTTGTGAATAAACCTATCTATCTATCTATCTATTAATAATAATAATAATAATGGACAACATTTTTCTATTTATTATTTTAACCATTCAGACTAAGTAAAGATGACATAAAACTGAAGTTACTTATTTTGATGTCAACCTTTCAAGAAAAAAATCTTCATTTACACCAAACAACACAACAACAATAATGATCTAAATTTCAACAATTACAGAAAATAATGTCACTATGCCAAAATTAAACATCGCAATGTGTGGTATTGGTATTGGTATTAAAGGGGGGCGCCCTCGCGGGCGTCCAAGCACTTAGGCCACCAGATGGGCCCGTTGTGCCCCGCTCTAGAGGGCGTCCAGAATGCCGCCCCTCCTATAGAAGGTCAGCAACTCCTTTAGCCCAATACCGTGCACTGAGTCCGGATCGATCAGGGCCGTTCCGAAGACTCCCAATCTTGCCCATGTCAAGGCAGGGCACTCGGTGAGCAGATGATACGGGGTCTCCTCCCCTTCCATGCACGACCTACACTCCGGGTCGTCTCCAATGCCTAGCAAGCAAAGATGCCTCCTTAGCCTGCAATGTCCTGTGTAGGCCCCTGTTAGTGCTCTACACTCCCTTCTGGTCAGTCTAAGCAGCTCCCTGGTCCGAGGAAGGGCGGGCCCATCCATCATAAGCCTCGTCTGCCTCATTCCCGGAGCAACTCTCCAGCCCCCCGCGGCCCGATCTCTCGCCCAGGCTTCGAGAGCTCCCCGCCTCACACACGGGGCGATCCCCAAGCGGGGCTCTGGCCCTATATGCCTATGCGAGGAGCCCTCTCTGGCTAAGGCGTCCGCTGCCTCATTGCCCCGGATACCGGTGTGATCCGGGACCCAGCAATGTGTGGTAAACGGGATTTGACTCACGAGTTTATTTGGCACGAGCGGAGCGAGTGTTTAATAAACGAGTGATTTAAAATGTTTACCAAACTTATTGCGTACGACCGTTAGTTTTTGGGTATATTTCTGCAAACCAACACGAATATATTCAGAAATATGTCTACGAAAATATCCCATTGCTCCCAAACCCGTGCGGTTTGGGAGCAATGGGTTAAACTCTACTGGAAACTTGGCAGATATAATTTAAATATTCATTAGGTATTTGAATAATTAAAATTAGATTATATTTCGACAAAATTCAAATTATTTAAAAAATCTTAAGATTTAGTTACCAAACATCATATTGAAACGCCATCTTATTTTGGTCGTAGAATAGTAAAACGATATAAATAATAAATTACAAAAAAATGTTTGGGAGAACCTGTACAGTATGGATTTAATTCGAAAAAGTAGCCATAAAGAGGACTTCACCTGGAAAAACTTTTCGAAAATCTTGCATTTTGGCGACAATATTCCGTGCCATATAGCCTAAAAAACCCTGTATAATATGAGGAAGAAATGTATCATCACTCATCATATTACGGCGATGGGAAGAGTGAGTCATTCAAACGCTCAGAATGAGGACTTAAAGAACTTACCTAGTGATGCATTTAGGAGTGTGCTCCAATAGATAACTAGGTCACAATGGAGGGCCGGTACAAGAACCACATACTCTAATTCAAAATCGTAATTTCGATTGCGCTAAAAGAAAAATAACTTCTGATTTTCCAAAAATTGAACTGAGGTGGCTTTTACTTGATGAAAATCCATTTATCAAAATAAATAAGAACTAAAAGTTCAGATTTTCGCGAAATTATATATTTTGACACGACCTTTGATAAGGACACAGTGTTGTCGAAACAATTGTCATTTCAAAATATATAATTTCGTGAAAATCTGAACTTCTAGTTCTTATTTGTTATGATTTTTCGTCTCTTTGGGTTTCGGGAGACCTTCACGAGAAAAACAAAAGTGCCCAATACTTCCCAAAACTTAATGGCCCAACAAATAGCTGACGACACGTTGCATTGCGTAACGCACGAACAGATAAATAGCCAATTTGAATAAAATGCATACCGGTAGCAGCAGACACGTATACTGTCTCGAACAAGTGCCGCTCCATACTTACCCTTTCATTAAAAATATTCTAATTAATGCAACAAACCAGTATGTAGTGGAGTGAAGTTTGTGCACTGATTATCATGCTAAATTAGAGTTAACAAAAAAACATACAAATGGTAACAGGTAGAATATTTTTAAATTGTCAACATAAAAGTTAATTTACTGGTAACCGAGCGCGGTGGCGACAGGTCCTTGAATTATAGATGTGCGCTATTTTTTCTTTCATTATTCTTTTTTGTATCTGTTTGGAAAAGGAATGTGTTTTCCTTTGGAACACATTTTACTGATACGTCTTTGGTCGCTTTTTACAGATATAACTTTGATCGATCGATCTGAGTGTTTTATATAGTTATAAATGTTATAAATGATTAATTAATCGACTGAAAAATGTATGAATGTTTTAGCTGCAAAAGGTTTGCTTAATTAGATTCAGTTAATAATTTGTCAATTTGTTTTATTATATCCAAAATGTTGTAGGGATGTTTTTGTTAATAACAGTATTCCAAAAACAGCTTATAAGTTTATGATATAAATTTCAAAACCTCACACTATTTGTGTTTATGTAAAAAAAAAGACAGTATTCGGAGGATATCGATTGCTCTCTACAATTTCTATTTTCAAAAGTCCAAACTAATCTACCAACCAAAACAAATATATCTTCACGAAGTTGAATCGGTTAGCAAACTAACAGCTTTTTTTTCTTTTAAGTGGAAAAACATTTTTTTGGTTTAGTTGCCCTGCATATTTTTAACTAAAATATTTTCCCTGATTCTAAAATTCACGTTGATACTCGATTAATATGGAGAAGGCTGTGTTTTATTGAATTTTGACCACCTCTATCAGTAGAAAAATTGTTACCTTTTTAGTTTGCTAAGTTAACAAAAACTCTAATAACAACATTCTTTATAGGGTATTGACTGAATAAGTTATATAAGTGATAAAAGAAATAAAGAAGAAATAACATCCAAATTCTGAAGGAGAGTGAACCTAGATAGCTAAGGAAAAGGTTAATCACATGGCTTTTCATGTAACAGGTGCTATAAGAGTTGAATCCAGCAGTCATAAAACTACATTGGCACAGTTATTAAGTTATCAATCATTCTTTTATAAATGGACTTAAAGAACAACAGCAAATATGTTATATAACATATAAAAACTTTTTTTAAGTTGTGCGTTCTAATGTTTTAAATGACAAAAGAGACCGCTGCACCGAAACGTCTTACCAAAAACCCTTTTCCTCCGTTACCCATGCACACCACAAATTGCCAATATCGAATTATGCAAAAATTCGTTTTTAACGGCCATACACTTTCAATACCGATGCGGAGCGGGATCAATAGAAGAAGAGAAAAACGTTACAAGCAACATTCTACACCTTCCTTCCAAAAAACCGTTTCCGCGTTTCCCTTTCCTAAAAAATTACCATGAGAAAAAACTTTTTAATTCTTTATTCAAATATGGTGCATAATTTAGTGCCCTTTGGGTCGATGCATTTGCATTTTTTTGGGTCCCAAAAGGTCATCCTAATTTAATAAAAATCGGCCCAGGTACTGGGTACTTCCCCTCAACCGTATGCAAAATTCGCACTTGCCCTACAAACCTTTACCAACATGAGATTTCATTAAAACCCTTATGCGGCCACGGGTCCCGCGTTAACCCAAGATACTGAAACTAATAAGCGACAGTATAGTAGGAAGGCAACTTTTTTGCCTACCTGCCTAATACATGCGAAATTATGCCTACCTGCTTGAATATTAAGTGTAAGGGACACCTTTGTAAAAGGTTAACCCTTAACCTATCGATGTATAGATATTGGGCTACGTTTGCGGAAATAAGCGCTCGGCATAAACTCAGAGGCGTAGGGTGGAGATTAAGCTCTTTTCAAATTTCGTACAATATTGAAAAGCAGCTCTTCGAGCCAAATTAAGGAGCACTTCGTTTATAATGTTTGATGTTGATGATTGATGATATTTTGGAATTTCATTCTTAACTGAAGACCACTGGAGAAATTTGCCCAGCTGCTTGCAAGCTAGAGCAGGAGGGAAGGAGGGGCTTTCTGAAAACAACCTGATTCCAATCCTAATACCATGCCAAACTAGCTCTCCGTGTATCAACCAAGGACGGTATGACTTAGCCTAACTAACTAACTAAACCAACAAAAACTAGCGATGTTTTCAAATTCCCGACATAAAAGAAGTAATGAAAAGTGAATAGTTCTAAGCAAAAAAATGA